AACTTGTAAAGCTGGTGCCACAATCTAAAATTGAAGTTGAATCTATTTAATAGTTTGGCATGTTATGCCTTTGCTCACTCTTACAGTGAGGATGCTGTAAAAGTTGCATTTGTGTGAAGTCAACACAGTGAGCATCTCTGGATCTGGCTTCTGGTAAAATTATGATTTTACTCTGACTCTGTTCTGATTCTATCCTACAGCCTGAAGAATTAGATCTTAGGGATTGAAATGAAAAAGGCTTGAATTCTTTTTCATTTTAGTACAGTTATTCTGACTAATTTTATATCCTCAATTTAAAGTTGTAACCCAGGGTGTTGTCCCACTAATGCAGGATCTAAACAGACAGGGCAGGAGAAATTCCATGATCAAGGGAAATTTAAATAGATTATTCCGTACTGAGTTTTACTCAATAACAACTATTTTTCAGCTGACTTGGGGGTATTTTCTGTAAAGATAAGCATGAACAATTTTTACGAAATTGTTTTGATACAACACAAAACAGAAAATTGCAAAGTAACGTAACTGTAATAAATAACTTGTAAGTAATGCTACAAATAAATTACAATAAATAAGTTATAAAGAGTTACATAACATAAACTACTATATAGCATAATCGCAATATCAGAAAGAGAGGCCAAGGGGACCAGGTTTGTTCAGCCTGAAGAAGAGGCTGAGGGAAGAGGTAATTGTACTATCTAAAGAAGGGTCATAGAGAAGACAAAACAACATTGTTTGTTTCAGGGGTACATAGCAAAAGCACCAGAGGTGACAGCCACAGCTTGCAGAAGGGAAAATGCTAACTAGACATATGGAAAATACTTTGTGCAGAGAGAGTGCAGCAGCGGATCAGAGAGATGCTGTAATCTCCATCCTTGGAGATGTCCCAATCTCAGCTGGACACGTCCCTGAGCAGCCCGAACTAGCTCTAAGTTGGCCCTGCTCTGAACAGGGGTTGGACTAGATGACAGCCAGACATCCTTTCCCGCGACAGTTGCAGAGCTCTTTTTCTTGCGTAAGCTCCCACCCCTTCGGAGAAATTTCAGTTATTTTTTGTCCCAACCAAGTTTAGTTTGCTTGCCTCAAGTAAGCGAACAAAGGTATCTCTCTCCTTCCCCATCTCAAGGAGCTGCTCAGCGTGGTGTCAAGTCACCCAAGGGGAGAGGATTGGGGCTGGCACCAGGGCTCGAGGGGATCAAGAGATTCCTGATCCTCAAGAACCTGTGGTAGCCCTGAGATGTAGACTCCCTTAGGAGATACCTAAGCCCTGCCTCATCCACCTTTATAAAAGGAGAACCTTTTCTCCACCTTTTTAAATAGCCGTAAGCCAGTTTTAAAGACCACGGTGACCTTTTCCAAAGGGAAGTCACAAATTATGTGTATTTTCAGCTGCATTAATGGAAATGCTAATCGTAGCTGCTCACAAAGGTCGCAGTTGTCTCTTGATGAGGAAGATGTGGAAAATTACCCTCATTCACTCACAATCAGTAAAACTAACAAGCAGAACGATATGTTAACACAGACTTATTTCATCTGGACTGCCCAAATTGCTGTGCAGTATAATGTATATGCTAATGAACAGTAATTTACAGCTAATGAAATTAAAGAAACAGGCCATTTTTCCAGTTTACATACAGATGCCATCAGTGGGTCCCATTATTAATTAGTGGTACAGTATACTGACAGTGCAAATGCTGGGCATGCCACTTAAGCTGATTCTACCATAATATACACTTAATAAATTGATACACATTTTTCTTAATTCAGAATTAACATTTTCTTTCTTCTAGTGAAATCTTGTAACAGTGTGCCTTTAGTAAAATGCAAATGAAGGCACTTTTCTGTAGGAAGTAGAGTGGTGAAATGGTAATAAAGCACGCCTGGTAATTCCTCACTGCTGAGAGCTGGAGTTGAGGTTTAAGTTGAAATGTAACAGGCAATCTTTTTCCCTCCATGACTTAAATTATAATAATGCTGACAATTTATATATGCTGAGTGCTGCCTTCTGTGATCTTCAAAGAATTTTAAAAGGACAGGTAGGAGTAGTTACCTTTCAGTGGGGAGGAGTCGACATTGCCCAACATTGCTGTGAGCTCAGAAGTGCTGGCCTCAGAGCCATTATTTAAAGAAAAATATTGAGTAGCCATTTGCCCAACTGGGTGCATTAAGATAATTAAGTACTTCCACATAGAAGAGTTGTAAACACCAATACTTGGGTAAAATACACATAAGTAAAGAATCTTTGATAATTCTAGACTCCCACAGATGGTGTTAGTGTCCTGCCTGCCTAACCCATCTTCACAAAAAATCTCTGTGTACCTGGTAAGGTAACTCTAAGCCCTATTAAAAGATCACAAGGACCTTTTCCATAGGGAAGCCTTTAAATATAGAACTTACGGGACAACAGAACAGGAAGGAAAAAAGACTAAATCCTGGTGCAATGCACAAACCTGGAGTAGTTTTCATGAAAAAAACCTTAATAACTTTCAGATGCAGGAAAGCATTTCTGAAGGAGACAAAAAGCAGCCAGCTTCAGACAGTGGCAAGTGTTACACAGCTAATGTTTATATGATCCCCCTCCATTGGCGAGGGCCCACCTGAACAGTTTGCAAAATAAAACAGTGTTGATGTACATTTTAAGTTGTAATTCAGCATGCTGGTATCAGATTTACCATGACTATGAGTAGGAAGCTATATGGAGATATCTGTAGCATTTACTTTTTGGATGTCCAGATTTTTAAAACACTTCGATTATCCTCCTCTTGTAAGATTGCTTTGGTATTCAAAAACTTACAAGAAAAGGTCAGTTCTGTCATGTTTTGTTCACCTATTTCCAAGAGCACTGGCAAAAGCTGAAAAATTAAAACATACCCTGGATTCCTACTGCAGGGTTTTATTTAGCTGCCCTTGCTACACAGATTCGCAGACGTTGTACTAACATGCCACAGAGAATCAAAATTTTTGGAAATTAAATTATTTCCGTCAGGTGCACTATATTTTAAATCAGTTACAATGGAGACAATTTAGAAGAAGAAAAAAATCAGCTTTCCTATTCAATAATAAGATTTAGTAATCATAAAGGTTGCCATAAATGTTATTTATAGGACTGGTGTGAGTCTCAGGTATTCATTCAAAAGGCAGACAGACAATCTCCTGTGAGTATCTATTTTAAAAATGTATAAATAAGAAATTATTTGTTGGAGACTGTCTGACACCTGATTACTCTGAAGACAGAAGAAGTAAATATAAAAGATCATGAAGGTCCTGGCTACCTAAGTAACTTCTGATGATTCATGGGTGGTTTAACAGCTGAGATTTCTGTAGCAGACATCTTCCAACAAAAACTAACTTAATAACATATATTGTGAATAGATTGCTCTCATTTGAGAGCAAAATGTTTTTAAAGATATTATCTTACAACCTTTTATTTTACATTTAAATTTCAAAACATCCCGTATTTGTGTTTTAATTGCACACATACATGCAATAATTCTAAAGAAGTCTAAAAGTCAAAAAGGGATTTCAGCTGTAATTCACATTGAGAGTAACAGGGAAGAGCTTAAATATACCTATATGCAATGCCAGAAATACTCAAAGGGGTTCTTAGCTAGAGTAGGAAGCAACACCATTCAAATGACAAGTTTTCTTTAAAGCTTGGAGATAACAGACCATCATCTATCTTCGGATGTGGTGACTAGACAAATCTTTCATTCAATGCGCCTCATATTTTGTGAAACCATTTGAGATGGAATTGTACCCAAAGGCTTTCAAGATCAGCCAAGTGGGTTTTCTGCACACATAACCAGACTTACAGCATACAAAAAAGGGACACCAGCATACTTTCGTCAGAGTTGGAGCCAAGAAATTCATACAGAGTTTAAGAGATGGAAGTCCATTTTCCTTCTCTGTTCCTCGTGGGAGCTCTGCACAGTAAGCAGAGGCTCTAGTGGTCTGCTCTATCTTCTCTATCACATTTATTAGTGAGAAAACAACAAAGAGGGTGTTTATATTATTGTATAGGTGACCCTCCCTCACACAGCATTACCTGCACGTCACTGCAGAACTAGGTTTTGCAGAGCTGGGCTTGCCAGAAACATTAAAGTTGACCCTATCCATGGAATTATGATTCACTTGGCCAGGAAAAGAGCAGGCATAAGAATTTACCTCTGGAATTATTATTATTATTTTTGAACACATAAAATATATTGGAAATGTCTTTACACCATTACAGACTGCTAAATATTGGTGCAAACTTTTTTAATAAGCAAGCTGCAACTCAAACAGCATTTAGATTCATTTCATGTAATTGTGAAATATATAGTTATATGGTTTCAAAAAACAATTAAACAAATTAAAGGAACAGGAATCAGTCAAAGACTGTTAAATTCAGAAGGCAATCTCTCTAGCACAGCCTGTCCTTCAGCCAAGCTGCTGGTGGAGTTTTCCAGGGGAGTATCAGTAAGCACATGCCTTGCTCAAAGACTATTCCCATAACCACTGTCAGAGACAGGCCGGTGGGCTAGATGATAAACATCTTTTCACAAAAGTGGATCTGAATAAAAATTTTAAATTCACTTCTGCAGTTGTCAAACATATCTTGGCTTTTCCATACTTAAGAAGTAATGTGGTACTGCCATCAATGAGAAAAGTAAGGAAAAGGGTTATTTTGAGTAGAAACTACGTTGTGCCACTGTGTACCTGGACCTCTTTCAAGTACTGCCATCAGTGAGAAAAATAAGGAAAAGGGTTATTTTGAGTAGCAACTACATTGTGCCACTGTGTACCTGGACCTCTTTCAGCTGGGGTGGGATCAGTGTCTACACCTGGAAATTCAGAGGTCTTTTTGTCTAGAAACATAAAGGTTGCTTATGTGGTTTGCATATATAAGCACAGAAACATCCAAGCTGCTTCCTTTCTGAATTAAGTCTGAATCTTCTCTCACATATTTCGAACCTAGTAGGCAAACCCTTACCTTTTTTTTTTTCCACCCATGTAATTTTTAGGACTATCAGGAAGCTTCTAATTTGGAGCAGTTTGTGACTCGCTTTCTTTTGAAGGAAACACTGAACCAGCTGCAGTCCCTCCAGAGCTGCCTGGAGTGTGCCATGGAGACCACGGAGGAGCAGACGCGGCAGGAGAGGTGAGCAAACCTTCTGTCCGGCTGCAGTGAAGGGGGTGAGGAGTGGGGTCACCGTGAACCTCCAAGACCATTTTACATTTCACCTAGCAACCTCATGTAGGGAATAACAGGAGGAATAAGGATATACTTTTTATTCCATATAGGAACTCACTAATAGTTTTCCTGAAATTGAATACAACCAGGTTCCAATCTGATCCTGTGGTGGGCTGCATGTAGGAGGACCATTTTGTTACATCCTAGGCTCCACTCCTTTGACTTTTTAAATCCAATGACTATTTAATATCAAATGCAGAAACCAGACCACTGCAATGTGAAGAGCTCTGAAATTACTAAGACGATTGACTGTCTCCTTATTTGTTTCTCCTGGCTTTATGATTTTTTTTTTCATTCCTGGTTGCACAATGATCCCAGTGTTAAGAGGAGAAATAGCCAGCCTCTTGCTTATTACACCTTCTTCCTAGAATACAGGGCCACAGTATTGGTTAACATGTAACTCTGTAAACTCTCAATTACCTGGGTAACCTATATATATATCTGAGGGGTTTAGCTGAATTTAATACCATGACCTTATAGATGAGGGTTTGTAGGATCCAGGACCAAAACATTTTTGAAAAGGCATTTGGCTTTGTGGATTTGTTTTCCTCAGTATGCTATTGCTAAAGATGACAGGGAAAGCAAAATACAAGCTGTTCTGTTTCATGGACAAAGAAGATCTAAACAGTTCATATGTTTTAAAGTGCATTGCTTTTTCCTTTCTTTTGGAAATGTCATTTTCTTGTTGGTTTTGCTGTTGGTTTTGAGATCTCTGACTGGGGGTTTGTGCCACCAGCTTGACCGCAGGAATCAAGCAGCTTTTGAAAGGCTGAGGGTGTGCCAAATATGCACAGTATACATAGCCCTCCATTCATGCATACGTCTTTCCAGGTTTCCCACACAACTGATGGGAGAGAAAAAAAGTCTTGAATGGCCAGTTCAGAGCTGGAGCCTAACTGAGGTGCTCTTACATCCTCTGGAATAATCATTGACTTCTTCTCTTGCCTTTTAGGACAGCCTCTCTAGAAATACAATCTAGAAAGACCATCTGAGTAACTCAAAGCACTCACTTGGGTGCATAGAATTGGGTGATATGAACATCCCTTTTGCTTTGTCGTCTGTATTGACTGTCTGGTAGGGCATCGTGGAGACTTCTTTCTCCAGTTTTATCAGTACAGTTGTTCAGAAATACCCTCTTGAATGGTGAATTTTGTTTATGGCAAATAAAATGAGAAAGAGGTGTGACACTGTTAAGCCACATACCATCTTCCCCATTTTCTGAGGTAGCAATGGAAAAGCCAGGCAAACTCAGCACTTGGGGAAAATTAGTTAGTTCCTAGTGCAGATGCCCCAATCCCTATGTAAAATGATTTTTAATTATGTTTAACTTAACTCAGAGGAAACTGTCAATCAAAATCCCATTAAAACACTCCTAAACTAATTTAAGAATGCTTACAGTGGGAAACGGCCATAATTCGGCTTACTGTGAAGGGATTTTATGCTGCAGAAAATACCATCTTAAAACACCTCCTTACCACAGTATGTGAGCTTTTGGTGAGTTCATTCTGTGCTTCAGGAGACCAGAGAGCTTTCCAAAACAGTGACCTGGGAATTATTTACTGAACTGTTTAGGCTACTGTCTAATAATCTTTGCAACTACTCATCCACCCAACTGTTCAAAACTAACCATAGTCCTGGTCCTTCATTGCGCTGCAGCTGGATGATGAAGCAGCACCATGTAGCGACAGCCTTCAGTCCTCACACAAACTCTCAAGCTTCAATGACTCTGTCTCCACAGTACAAACATAAGTAATTTCTGTATCTGCTAGGTTTCAATACTGGTCCCAGAAATGTGTCTGTCCTCCATCCAATATTAGCCAACTCTCATCAGTTTTCCTTCCTTATTAACAGATAGATGTTGCTGTTTATCTTTTTGATCTTTAAGCTGAAGGGGTCAATGTTTAAAGTTCGTATCTCACTTTTAGCTGTTCTTGTGACCTCAGTTCCTCTGTGGAGATGCTACAAATCTCCCATGAATGAAGACACAGTGTGAATGGTTCCTTTGGTCAGGTCAGAACTACATCATGGACAGACACTGACCTCAACCTTTCTCTCCCTAAAAGATAAATTTACACCAGCTTAACCCTCCTTTTTTTTTTTTTTTTTTTTTTTTACATCTCTAGTGACTAGCAACCTAAACAAGGCTAATGAGTAATAGTGAAAATCTGGAAAATAATTCAGTGGTCTCAATAGGTATTTCTCCTTTTTTAATTCAAAAAGGAACATACAAGCACATTTTTTGAGAACAGAGACAGGAGAGCTCTCCCACATGTTTTACCTTATGAAGTTTCCTGTGTTTCTGTGCAGGCAAGATCCAACAAAACCAGAAGTGCTCTCAATTCAATGGCCAGGAAAACGCCCAGCTCGAAGGCTTCAGAGGAACAACAGCCTGTTGCCAAATAGCCCTCATTTTAGCACAGGTATGGTATTTCACATTTTAAAGATACTTAAAACATGTGCATACACACACATATACACAAAAATACACATTTATCTTCCTCTCAAAAAATTTAATTAAGGCAAAGTAACTAACTCAGATACTTTACTGACAGAAATCAGTCTTCAACTTAATATAGAAGGTATTAGCTCAAACTGTAAGGAAAATAAATATGTACCCACAGATCTGAACTGATAAAAACTAAATACATAATCATGGGCCAAACTGTGATAGTGTTTTGGGGCTGTGGGTTTGTTCAGCATTTCTTAGGTAGTATTTGTAGCCTGCAGATAAGAATGAAAAGGTGAAGGCTATAACTTATACAGAACCGAGTTCTCTGTCATGACTTACATCTCAGCTGAAGGGAACAAACAAGAAACAGAAAGGGAAAATACAAAACTTGAAATAAAAAAAGATTTCATTTAAGATGATACAAAAAAAATCTGAAACAGCATTTCTGCTTTGGAAAACGTGAGAGGATACTTTGGTAAACGGGATTCTTTGGAAGCAGTGACATTAAGCATGAGGCTGCAATGAAGGCATCTCCAGGCTTAGTGATGTCTCCCAGAATCAAGGTATGAAGATGACTGAAACACCAGAGTACGTGATGGGTCAAGCCCACTTCTTGTCGAGTCATGCAGATCTCACTGCTTGCAGCCACATGCTCACCTCTTCCTTTTCAACCCTCTTTTGAAAACCCTTCTGACACTCACATTCATGACTCGCTTTCTGCCACTCACCAAATGATGCTGTTCTTTCAGAGCAATGATGCAGGGTGATGTTTGGTCCCTTGCTGCAAGTTGCTGGTGTTCATAACAAGGAAGGTTACATAGCCTTGTTGCTGTACTCCTAATCCACAGAGTTCAGAAGGCACCCAAACATACAGAAGCTGTACCAAACCCACTTAGTGTATTAATGTCATTTTAAAGAGCTAACATCTTTTTCCACAGCTACTCTAATAGCTGTCTAACAGCTGTCTACTTTCCCAGACAAGATCTGTGTTTGTCTTGGCACTTGGTCTTCCTCCGTACTGCCCGCTACCCACATGCACAGTAACACTGTAGGTGTGTATATGCACTCAAGCCAGCATTTCTTTAGCCTTTGTACTTGTTTGGGTAGAGCTACACTCTTCCTCCTCTACGTATCACACCTGTGGTACGTCCCCAGCATTTGGATTTCTTTGTTTGGTCAAAACATAGTCCATGTGCCATAAGAACCCTTAGCTGGAAAATGAGCAGGTTAATGAACACGCATATCAAGAGCACGTATTGAAAAATCTTCAGTTTCTGACAAATAACCTTGCTCTCTCCTTAGAGCAATCACTTACGTACACATTCACACTGTGGGTAATGCCAGGAACTGCTCTCGTAATGCACATATCTGTTTCTTTGAGTATTATTCTTTCCATCTGATGGACAATTTTCTTGAGAGTTTAGCAAAGTAAAATTTTCCAGAGAACTTAGAGAAGCTCAGAGATGGTTGTGCCTTTGTAGAACAACATTTTCTAGCTTCACCTTTGCTATATGACATCACATCATTATACAGTCACGAGTATGACTGCAGTAGAGCTGGAGAGCTAGGAAGTCTTCTGAAAGGGGCATGTCCTGTCCATACAGAGATACCAGACACAGTATCTTTAGTCTTTCCTCTGCTGATGAATTCCATGACTTGCGAGAAAAACAAACATAGGAAAGTTACAATGATGAAATGTAATCAATCTTGAGTTGGTCAAAATTTGCAGTCACCACAGGCATAGGTTACACATCTCAAAACCAAAATCTCATTCTAGAAAAATCTAGTGTAGGAAGGATCAATCCTAATAATCATATTGCTGCAATTCATCAAGCACCTTGGAACGCTGTTTGGTTGGAAAGGTAAAGAAGGATCATTAACTGCAAGGGACATCCAGTTAATGTTATTAAATCAGCTATAGAGTCCACTGCAAGATTATATCCCTCATTAGTGGACAAACACATGAAAACCCTTAAGGCAGCATATTGCAGATGACTGTAACAAAGCTGAAAACTCCTTGGAGTGTAAGTATAAAAACAGCTGTTGAAGCTAAATTGAACCTTTTCTGAATGAAGAGAAACCCCCTTATTCCCAATGCATATGAGACATTCTACAATTACATTAGGAGGCTCCTTCAGGAATCTGTCAGTATCAGGATTCCTCAAAATGCCATGCCATGCACCTACATCACTTAGCTGCACATGTACACCCAATTAATTCTTTTCTGTTCATAAGAATATATTTTTTTATTGGGAAGGAATGTACATACTCTTAACCTTTGAATAATCCTGGAATCCTGCTGGAAGGACGCTGCACATATACACCCAATTAATTCTTTTCTGTTCGTAAGAATATATTTTTTTTATTGGGAAGGAATGTACATACTCTTAACCTTTGAATAATCCTGGAATCCTGCTGGAAGGACCGTGCCAGGACCCTAAGAACAGCAACAGGCTGACCACGGCAATGTCCTTGCAGTCGGGGCCCTACAGCAGGTCTGCTGTCTCTGCAGGAGGAAGCAAGATCCTATCACCTAAGCTGTACTGGCCATGCCAGGATATTTAAGACAAAGTCTTGGCTGCTTTTCTTTCACCTTCACCAGTGCTCTCAGGGGAAAGAAGAACTGCAAACAAGACACAGCACATGGTCCCTCTATGGGATGTATTTGAAAGGAATCCCAAAGACAGGCTTGCTATGCAGCAGAAGAGCTGACTCTTACTCTTACAGAGACTTTCACATAAAGAAGATTAAGAAATGGCAAACTAAGAAAAATATTAAGACAGAGAAAGCTTTAAGCCCCCCCCCAAGATGATTTTGCATTTTGAGCAGAAGGTGCTCAGGTTATGAGCTGGTTCCATCTGCAGAGGAGGGCATTCCTTTCTTCAGGTATCAGCATGATTTCAAAAGCACTGGCATTAATCTAGAATATAGTTTTCATTCAGTATTGGATTTCTATTGTATCTTAAAAAGAAAGAAAATAATTAATATAGTCAAAATCATGCTTTCCTTTAGTTATACCTAAATGAACACTGAACTAGTTGCAGCACAATCTTCAAGGAGCAAAATAAATTGCAAGCTAAGCTAAACTTTTTTATAAAATAAATGAATACACTACGTTCCAGCATTTAGTAACGTTTTATAAATGTTATATTTTCCAAAGGTTGGACTGAGGAAGACAGCCAGTGGATCACCCAGATAAACAGACTCCAGAAGCTGATTGACAGGCTGGAAAAGAAGGTGTGCATTTCTTTTTACCTGTTTGTTCTCTCATTTTCAGTAAAGGAATCCTTAAATCACAAATGCTTTCAATGTCCCAGTCACAGTCTTTCCAATCAATAATGAGTGAAACTTCAAGATCACCTAAGAGAGCCAGCACTCATCAAATGCCTACATTTTCCTTCCACCTTCTTCTTCCCTATTTCATAAGAGTATGACATGTTTTTTCCACACTCCCCTTTCCCCTTTCCATCATCACAGGTCCAACTTTTCTTAAAAATCTGAAAAATTGCATTACTGTATGCCTGGAGGACATTACTGTATTTAGTTGTGCTTGCTCTGGGGAACATGGGAGAAGCCTCTCTTTTTAGGATGTGATTTTTTTTTCTCTTCCTCTCCAAACTTTCACACTAAAGCTTGACAGAAAGTTTTGTTTCCTCCTTCCCCATCAAAGAATACTAATTTATAAAGATTAAAACACTTTCCTAATAAGTACAGTTCAACCAAAAGCTGATGCAAATCCCACCATCCCACATGGGAGCCAGCTGCACCAGCCCCCAGAGCCCTGAGACTGCCTGCGGTTTCCATGCCAAAGCAGAGCCCTCACGGAGTCTGACAAACGACCCATCAGATCCAACCATACCAAGGCTTCCCAGGGCTTGTAAAAACCTGAGTAACACATCTGTACAGAAAAGACCTATTTCTTTTTTTTTTTTTTTTTCAGTCAGACTGATTGCTACCTGAGGTTTTAAAAGACAGGGACCATTTGGAGAAATGTGAACATGCAACAGCCTGACCCTGCTCCTTCTTTCCAGCTGATGGATGCTCCCCCGTGAACATGACCATGGGCTTTAAGTCTATCTAGTATTTGTGGCTGGACCCATGCCTCTTACTCAGGCACTGGCTCAGACCTTGGGTCCTGGCAGACAACTGTTTCCTCCTACTCGCCCGCTAGTCCAACTTGAGTTCAGCAGCAAATTATACATACAGAAACTAGTTAAGTAAGGGATGTAACAAGACAACAGAATAAACGGTGGTGACCCAGCACAGGGCTTAGCAAGACAAGCATACTGACATTTCTCTGCCATTGCTCTCTCCCAAATGAACAAACTGCCCCTAATTACTTTTCCCCTTTGGTCCCAATTTGGGACCAAAATTTGGTATTTCTGTTATCTCAGTCTTATTACTCATTAGCTGCATTACCGATATGGTCACCCCTGGCACTGCTGGCCTTGCAAGTCTCTGCTCTCCAAAAGGAACCCAGTACTCCCTTCAGTTATCCCTGAGGTCTGATGGTCTCTCACATCGCTTCTCCTTAACCAGCTGTGAAATTCGGCCATTCCCTGTGGCACTGTCTGTAACTTCTGTCAGCTTCTCTCTGTTCCTTGCTGTGCTCAACAGCTCCTCATGGTCTGCTCAGTCCATTACGCCTCTGGCCAGGGCAAACCTATCCATCTGCACACAGCAGCTTCATCCCAGAGGCCACTTCTGCATGAGAAAAGCAATTACACAGCAGTTGCCACCTTAATGACATTTTAGTAGTAATTTGATTTTTTCCAAATAAATTGGATTCTGAAATGTCAAAATCCGTCATGAAACGTAACTCTTGCTTGTGGCCCAGCTTTACTCCCAGCTCTGCTTTGGAAACAGCAGCTCGCTGCCCTGCCACAGTTGCCTCCTGAGACAGACTGATGCCAAAAGCAGTTTAAAGAAACCTAACATTTAAAAGAATGTTACTGAAAAAAGAAATTTGGCATACAGCAATAATGCAATGCAAATGTTACAGAAAGCAGCCAACCATTTTGTAGTAAATAAACTTACAACAAGGATGTTATAAAGTGATCAAATCTGCTACAGATAAATGACAGAGAACCTCTGTCTGAGAAGGAGCTCAGTGGCAAAGGGAAATGATGGCAGGCCAAAGACCTTCCATAATTATCTCTTTATCAATATAAAACTTGATTAATAAAACAGAGCAATTACATAAACCTAATTCTGCCAGTAGACAGCCTATATCCACCTTTGCCTAACTTTGCATCTGCTCAACTTTGTATCTCACAGCCAGGTCTAACTGTGACAGGGGACAAGTATCAGCCATCATTCAGCAGCTACTAAAGCTCCTCTTTTTGACTTTGCCCTCGAACGGATTAGGAAGGATCGCACAGTCACACTAAAAAGCAATTTCAGAAGCTACCACTTCTCAGCTGAGGTGAGGTAGGCCTGCAGAGGCATTCTAAAGCCCCAGCTCTGAGCTGCATCAGTTTTTATTTCCAGGCTGGGTGGTAACTGTCTGGCAGGACCTCTGTTCTCGACATTGGGCTACTGAACTCACGCTCAGCATCAAGGCAGCCGATGCCCGAGCACTCTTT